TCAATTGACTGCCCTAAGTGGTAACACCAGCAGGATGTCCCCACTCTTGTGCCCTATGAAGGCAGGAGACAATGTGAAGACATCAATAGTATGTGTCAATCCCTGTTCCTTTCACGGGAGCCAGGAGCACATTCTGTCTCTGAAACACAAACAAATGCAATCTGGGTACGCAATCCCCAAATCAGCCCTCAAAACACAGGTCTGGGTAATAATACTCAACGACAAAGTCTTTTTATTTTATTATTTATTTCTTTTAATACAAAGCTTTGGCATTAGCAATTTTATGAAAAAATAAAATGTACTAAAAATAAATGCTTGTGTGGCATGATTGGTAAATGATGCACAAAAATAGGTTCTTTTTTCCTTCAAGGCAATCAGTCAGAAAGCAGTTTTTTTTTTTCTTCTTCAAAACCATTCTACCCTATGGAATAAAAGGAAAAAGAGGTCATAAATTAGTTAAAGAGTAGTCAAATGTTTAAAATAACAGAGAAGTGACCCTAACTGGAGGGTGGCCTGGGCTGTCCCCAGCTATTTCCCAACTACCTTGGTAAGGCCAGGAAGCCATTAAGTGTTTTCCCAAAATCAGCAGTTTCAGATCTGCAGTTGAGGGGCTCATCCGTCTTAGAGGTGCTTTAATACTCCCCAAAGGATGAAGAAAAAAGGTCAGGACCGTGGCGTGTTGTTTAAATACACAGGGACGATTATCATACAACTTTTCCTGGTTTAAACACATGTTCTCAATGCTGAGGGTACTGAAATCTATAGCTGTTGTCTTTAAAAAATGCTCCTCTTACCCCTCAAACAAGAATGTCCTTACTTATTTTGAAGTGACAAGGATGTATGGCTCTCTCACAGGAATCCTCCAGACTTTGGGTGTGTGTGTTTCTGCCCTTGTATCAGGTGTAAAAAGAGACTATGACCTTCTGACAAGTCCCTGTGCTGGCCCAGCTCCTGATGCCCTGTGTTGTGGGGCCGCCCTGGCTTTCTGATGTCTTGGACTCCTGCTCATTTCCAGGGTCCCCACATCAAGCTGTTAACGTTGATCTCTTCCTTTCAGCTGAGCTTCAGCTCTTTGCTTCAAACCACATAAGCTTTGGTTATCATACAACTCTCCAGCAACTCTTGATTTCAGCTCCTGCTCACCACCCTGGCTTCCTCCTTCAACTCCCAGTTTTTACCTATCTATCTTCCCACCTCCATGCTCTACCACATTAAGCAACTTCGCAGCCACTAGGAATATCTCTCTTCTGAAAAGCCTGAGAACCCATTACCAGCTGTTTACAAGAATGAAGTCCAAATTCTGTCTCCTGCCTACTGCCATCACAACCTACAATAGACACTCTAAACCATGCAACTCCCCAATCTTGCTCTGTGCAGTCCTTACTGTGTGACCTAGTTATGCCCAGGCTAAGTCACTCCTCCATGCAGCCTTTTTAGCTCCCCCAAAGGTAAAGCAGCAGCTCTGCGGGCATGACCCAAAAGGGCCTTTGCACACTCCCTCACTCTCCAGCTATGTCAGCACGCATATGAGGGCACGGCCCTGAGCTCCATGGGCAGGATGGGTCTCCGCTAGTTTCAACACTGTGACCCCAGTACTTAGCACAAGGCCAGGAGCCTACTTGGGAAATGGCATCTCAATGAATGAGAGGGCATTGTCAACTTTTTTGAAAAAGCTCTGGTATAAAGGATATTCACAACTTCGCATAAAGCTCTGTGCTTTATTATTTCTTATAGTTCCTATTTAAAATAACACATTTTCTAATATTTCCTCAGAAAAACTGAATATTAGATATAAAGACTTTTTAGGGGTAATCAAGTTCTTAAATCTACTTTATCTTGTTGCCCCTTAAAGGCTGGGCACAGTGATTCACACCTATAATCCCAGCACTTGGGGAGGCTAAGGTGGGTGGATCACCTGAGGTCAGGAGTTTGAGATCAGCCTGACCAACACAGTAAAGCCCTGTCTTTACCAAAAATACAAAATTAGCCAGGTGTGGTGGCAAGCACCTGTAGTTCCAGCTACTCGGGAAGCAGACAGAAGAATTGCTTGAACCTAGGAGGCGGAAGTTGCAGTGCACCAAGATCACTGCACTCCAGCCTGGGTGACAGAGCGAGACTCTGTCCAAAAAGGGGAGGGGAGGGGAGCAAGCAAGCAAGCAAAATAATAACCACCGTCAAAGAGGGCAGAGAAGTCCAATGCAAGTTCTTACTGCCTTTAATACTCTTGTTGTACCTGCATTTTTAGAAAACCAAATTTGTCTTCTTCAACCACATTATTTGGCACTATCCTCCTCTCTGAAGTAGTGAAATGCAAGCAGTTTAAAGGAAAAGGTTGGAACCAGAGGTACTGGGTTTGAATTCCAGTGTCCTTCTTCCTATGGCATCCCTCTGGAGTCACTCAATCCCTCTAAACTCAAATTTATTCTTTTGTGTATATGTACCTCACACTCAGATTGGCTCAAAGGAGAACAAATGCTAAGAGAAAGAAGAGGATCCATTATCCAGCAATACACCTCAAACAGAAGTTAATTTTAAACCTTTTCTGGAATTGTTACAAGAAAGGTTGTGTGAGCAAAAGATTATCAGGTTGAGAACTAAAAATTCAAAATTTTTTTAGACAAGCATTTCTCAAACTAAAGTATACAACCTATAAATGGTTTATAAAATCAATTTAGGAGTTAACAACTAGTATTTGTAAGGCTGGTTGCCTCGCCGGGAGTTCGGACACGCCCATCTCCCTCCCCGCTTGAAAATTACATTATCAGAATATGCCCATCATCTAGCTCCGCCTTGGAAATCCCCTCTGCACTCGGCACCTAGCCCGCCTTGGAAATCCCCTCTGCACTCGGCACCTAACCCCACCCTTGGAAATCCCCTCTGCACTCAGCACTTAGCCCGCTCACCGGAAATCCCACCTACCTACCAACAGCAGCTCACCCCGTCCACATCCTGTTTCTCCAAATCCAATCAAATGCCTTCACTCCCTATAAAACCCCACTCCTGAGAGGAGTCGAGCGCAACTTCCCTGGCCCTTCTCCCCGGGATCACAGACCCTCGCCCAGGAGCTGAATAAATTGGCATGTAATTTTCTTGTGCTGCTCAGCTTCCTCGTTTTTAACTCGGCAATAAACCTACAGAGAATAAACTTTACAGTATTAACAAGGCAGGATTGACTACATCAGAGAATACTGCATGTAGTCAGGGAAGCGTGTGTGAAATTTGTTTCAGTCATATATGGGAGTACTGGGTCACAATGCAAAAATGTATCTCTTACAACAAGAGATGGTTTTTAAAAAGTTTGAAAAACACTGCTTTTGATATTTAAGGTTCTAAAATAGGTAGCTGAAAGAGAACCCAACACCTCTCCTCAGCCTCTGACCCCTCCTAGGAACAATTCAAGAGGGACCCTTAGCATAGGATGAGTCTTAGAGCCTTCCACCTGATGTGAGGTATGCCTATGAACAGCTCTATACTGTAGCTTCTGTCTGAAGAATCAGGTCCTGGTGTAGGCTCGCTAGCTTTCAAAGTGTCCTGTGCTTTGGATGGACAATTCTGACTAACACAAAGTTCTTTCTTTCTTTCTTTTTTGAGATGGAGTTTCACTCTCGTCACCCAGGCTGGAGTGCAATGGTGTGATGTTGGCTCACTGTAACCTCTGCCTCCCGGGTTCAAGTGATTCTCCTGTCTCAGCCTTCTGAGTAGCTGGGATTATAGGTACCTGCCACCATGCCTAGCTAATTTTCTTATTTTTAGTAGAGATAGGGTTTTACCATATTGGCCAGGCTGGTCTCGAACTCCTGACCTCAGGTGATCTGCCCGCCTTGGCCTCCCAAAGTGCTGGGATTACAGGTGTGAGCCACCATGCCTGGCCACAGAGTTCTTTCTCACATCAAGTGGAAATCTACCTTCCTGTAGGTATCTCCAGAGCTCCAGAAATACAGAGTAAGCATCACTGTGCATGCACTGGTTAGTTAACATGAAGCTATTTTGAGTGCTAAACCAGGCAATATGGGTAAAAGAGACCAGTACAGGCCTAAGATCTTGGTAGGAATTCAATAAACAGTAGTTATTCTCATCTTTAAGAGTCCTTCAAACACCTGGAAACATCTCTCTTCTTGCCTGGTTCCCTCTCTTCCAAACCAAGCATCCCCAAGACATCAAATAAATTTTCACACCTTTTTATGTTGAGTATTCTAGTTTCTCAATATTCTTCTTAAAAAAGAGTACTGAGCGAAATAATTCAGAAATACTGAGAACAAAATAGAAATATCAGCTCTTTTTATATAAATAAAGGAGTTTATATATATAAATTTCTACTACTACACTAAGAGGAGGGAGCTCACCAGGAGCTTCCTGGTGACCTGCTACAAGGAGCCAGGGATTCCTGATCTCGGGTTATGCCACTGGAACATTTACTCTAGTTATTTTTTATCACATTTACCACTTCAGATTCACTTCCTCCTGCCAAGATTGTTTTGAATCTTTTTTTTTTTTTTCTTTAATTGAAAGAGGATCTCAATGAAACTCCTGATCTTCCTTTTCTTTTTTTTTTTGAGACAGAGTCTTGCTTCGTCACCAGGCGCCAGGCTGGAGTGCAGTGGCGCGATCTTGGCTCATGACAACCTCCGCCTCCTGGGTTCAAGCAATTCTCCTGCCTCAGCCTCTCGAGTAGCTGGGACTACAGGCATGCGCCACCACGCCCAGCTAATTTTTGTATTTTTAGTAGAGACAGGGTTTCACCACGTTGGCCAGGATGGTCTCGATCTCTTGACCTCATGATCCGCCCGCCTCGGCCTCCCAAAGTGCTGGGATTACAAGGTGTCAGCCACCGCGCCTGGCCCGATTGTTTTGAATCTTGAATGATGAGCTACCCTTCTCTGCAAATCTTAGAACATGATTTCTATGAATCAGAATCTAGGAACCAGAAAAGGGCTCTAGGCAATACCTAGTCATACCTCTCATTAAACATAAAATCTCTACTATATATTTGTATATGTTCCTCAAATAAATAAAAATATTTATTTTTCTTATTTTGAGGGAAAACTAGAGTGACACAAATATCAGCTGGCAAATGTTTACATTTCACAAAGTTTATATGAATAACCAAGTAGAGTAAAAGGCCTCTTTTGGGAATTGAAATTCAATAGCCTTGCTTATCCAGGTACTAAGAAACAGAGGTATAACAAGCCAATATGTAAATATATTTAGCTTGTATTTATTTGCTTCTTTGACTAACATCCTGTTTACATTTGCAAAGTTTCAAAATCTACCAGCTTTGTTTGCAGTGGTAAAAAAAATTTTCATGTGTAATTAGTCATAGTACTCAAATAGTATTTCATCCTAATAGAAGGGTAGTGACTCTAAACACATGGGCTTTTTGATGGACTTCTGATTGAAGCCAACAGCATCAAGCCCTTGGTAAATGCACCAAGCATGGTGAGGGAGGGATGGGATTTTGCACCCCTTGTGGGGCTCCTCCCTGTGTAGTCAGCAACCCACTCATGGCAGGGGACCCTGGACTACCTGGGTCCCACAGGCTACCCTTACATCTTGCCCACAGGGTTTCAACGGTGAGTAGACAGGGTGTCAAGGACTTGCTGAAATCGTAATATACAAGAACATTGACTAGTAACACTGCCAGATAAGTAAACCATTCTAATAGGTATATGCATAGAGGTGAAGTTTATTATCAATTTTTAGACAGCCATTAAAACGCCAAAAGATGCAATCTGTTGATATATGACCATCTTACAAATGGATGAGGTTACTCAGAAAATTAAGCCAGGGCAATTAAGGTGAAAAACAAAATCTTATTTTGGCTGTAAGTTTCTTGGTAGATAAAGGTAAAAACACAAATAAAATCGATGTTGAAAAATTCATTAATAAAGAATAATTACAAATTTATTTGTTAAAATAAACTTTTCTCTGGAATAAAATCACTAGGAATTTTTCATCGACATTTTTGAGAAAGAGACATTGGGTAAGAGTACTGTTATCTTTCCTATCATCTGCCACAGTAAAAACTGCCATTAAAAAGATTAAGTAATTCATCCAAATCTATGTGGCTATTAATGAGTTTACTTAATATTTGCATTAATTTCTTTTTGGACCACATTATATTTAGCACTGCTGTGATCTAAATATNAAAAAAAAAAAACCAACACATAAAAGCACAAATTGAAGAAGACATTGCCCCAAATTCTAACGTAAGATAATCACCATTCATATTCTGGTGACCATCCTTGCATGTATACACATGTGTGCATCCACAACACGCACACACACACACTCTCTCCATTTCTCTCTCTAAATGGGATCATGAATATTGTCCTTCGGTGGTTTTGCCTGAAGGCACAGAAATAATAATCGAACGAACAACAGTGAAATCAACCCTCCAAAACTGTTAATGGGAAGAGGGCTGGACTAAGACATGGATCTATGATCCATGACTTAGATTCTGAGTCATGCAGGCATTTAGGCATGGAACTGAAATATTATAGTCCAGACACTATGATTTCTAATAGGTAACATGTCTACTAAGCACTCTCTAAAATATCTGATGCATGAACTGAACATCAGACAGATTCTGAGTGGCAGTCAGGTGACTGTTAAATTACTCAATAATTCTTGAAAAGTGCCTAGTGTCATTATTTGCTTGTATTGGTTATCACTCATTTGTGAACTTTTTAAGAAGTAGGTCTATATTACTATCTTGCCTGATGGGTTAGCACAGGAGTAAGCAACAGTTGTGGGTGAAGTGTTTCCCCCTAAACTGAGGTTTCAATCATAGCTACTCACAGAGCTACTATAGTTCTGTGTCCTATTTCATGGAAAAATTTACTTCCCAAACAATAAAGGCAGGTGGTCATCTTACTAACAGACCTTCAACAGCACTGCAATGGCATTGGCTTGGCTAACATTTATTGAGCACTTCTTAAGTACCAGGCACTGTGCTAAGCATTTTATATGCTGACTCTCATAACAACCCTGCGATGTGGTCCTATCATTATCTCTGTTTGTGAATGACTAAAAGGAGCTTCAAATAAATATAACTGCCCAGGTGTTACAACTAAAAAAATGGAGGAACTGAGAGTGAAATCCAGGTGTGTATGACCCTAGAGTGTAAGGAATTAGGTGTGCCATGCTGAAGGAAAACTGAATGGGTGGTCAACAGCAGCAGCTAGTGGTGCACTGCTAGATGAGGCACAGTGCTCCTCTGATAGCTGGGGAATGCCACCCAACCCTGACATCTGTGACCCCAACCTGTATGGGCTCACAGATGCCAAAGGGCACTTCTTGCAATTATCTAGCTCACAGATTAGATCTAATAACATATGTCACTGCAAGTGGAGGCCACTTGCCCATTGTTTCTATAGTTGGACAATGGGCAGTCAATTAAATCAACTGCATGAGGTAGTTTGATTATTACTCATCAATTAAAGTATCAGGACATAATTGAATATGGAGATCACGTGAATTCCACCCATACCAATTTAGGTTCAAATGTGGGCAGTGTCCCAGGGTTGCTTTCATCTCTAATTAAGTTTTCATGAATATTGGTAAAAGAAAGGACTGAATGACATCCTACAGCAAATATTCAAAATTTAGAACAAAATAAAACAAAGCAAAAATCAAAAACCTTTTCTACACCTTATCCCTGTGAAAAGCTACTCTTGGAACAGCACTGGATCAAAATGGACCGTAACAGTTATCTAGTCCAATCTTCCATCCTCTGAAAACACCTCACTACAGCACCTCTGAGAAGTGACATCCAGCCTCTGCCTGCATTCCGAGTCCTGGGCAAGCCCTACAGCAAACCATCCCACCACGAAGCAACCTCATTGACAGATGGCCTTCTTTTTACTGAGGTAAAACCTGAAGTCATGGAGCCTGCTCTTTGGTCGTCATTTTGCCCATGGAGATAGTGCTTAGACTTATTTTCTCTTCCTCCTGACAGTCGTCCTAATATCCAGAAACAGCGGGTCTTTTTAATTGCTTCTTTTCCGCAGGCCAAGCATCAAAGGTACTGGTCCTGACCATAGACATGGGTGCAAGGGCTTCCCCAGAAGCCAGACGTGCAAGGTCCAGATAAGTGTGATGAACACAAGTAAAGTGACAGCCTTTTACACTCTAAGACTATACTTGTTCTTTTGGCATTTGCATTACACTGCTGATTCATTCTAAGCATGTGGCTAATGAAAACCTCTGGATCTTTTCTCAAATGAGCTGTTATTGTTGAATAAGGTGAACTCCCAATCTGTGTTACTGACTAAAAATGTATGTTGATGAAATAAAGTATTTTGCTAGATATGATCCCATCAGGATCGGTATGAAACTGGTGGAAAGCCAATTCTCACCACCTTCATGAAAATTACTCCATGTGTTTTCTTAGGATCATCTGGCACATGCAATCCAAAAAACAATTTGTTACTTACTCATTAGCATTCAAGCTAGCTGTGGCTCTGATGATCATGTAGCAGAGTGTGAGGGCACTGAGGAGGCCAAAACTGGCAATAATAAACCATTCTTCTGTTGACAAAGGAAAGGGAGGAAATCACTCTGGGGAGAAGGTTTAAGTCAAATCGACGCCAACATTTCCCTCAAATGCAACGAAGCAGACGTCAACGGAGGTGTAAGCCAAGATTGGCCCAAGGAAGTGAAGCAGGAGGTTTGCCAGAGAGCTACTAACTGAAGAAGGTTAGTGGAAGTACTGGTGAAAGCTGCAAGGGAGAAAGGAAAGCATGGCCCAACCATTTCTTCCATTTTAAGTCCTGAGGTCTGTGAGGAGTGTGGCCACCAAAAAGGATGTGGTGAAAACAGGTATATAAAATTGCACATGGTCATAGATGTTTTCATTGTTAATTTAAATGACAGCAAAGTAGACTAAGCACACTTATAACCTTCTTTCCTTCTTCCTTCTGTCATTTCTGCATGGCTTTCATTGTTAGTCAAAGGCTCAGGAGCACGGAGCAGAGGTTCTCCAGGTCCTGTGGGTGCTCCCAGCATTCTACAAGCCGGCCTCCCACGGCATCCATGGCTACATTCTTCTCTCTTATGCATGGGCTTACTTAGGATATTTATATAAAAAAGGACACCTCACTGGTGTCTCAAGAAAATAGAAACTACTCTTCCTGACACCACTGCCAAGGAGCAGCACTGGTTCAGGCTGTGACAAGCAAAGTAGGAAGGGCAAGCAACAGACCAGGTACTTGGCCACCAAAGAGCTGAAAACCTCTGGTACTTAAAACTCTAAGGGTTTTTATCTAGCCTGTCTCTCTTTCTCCCTTTATCCAGATATGTTCCCTTACCTTTTCAGAGCCTATTTTGTCAAGGTGACATTTTAAAAACTGTGTTTATTGAGAACCTTGAAAACAACCCAAGAACCAAACTGACTTGCTAAAAAGCCTTAACTAGAAAATATTTCTCAGAGTATACACTGACTAGGGTTGTTTTCACAAAATGTTAAACAATAAAATTATCTGTATATCTGCAAGAAGGCAGAGAGAACTGTTTACACATGGACTGCCAAATGTTTTATGCACAAGTTGTATATAATGTATGGTTTTCAATCAGGGTTCCACAAATTCTAACCCTGCATGCAAAATTGTGTGTGCATAGGCATTTTTCTAGAAAAACATACTTTCATTAGATTTTAAAGGTGGTGACTTTCAAAAGGTCAAGAAGCACTGCTCCTGGGGACTTCTGGGCTCAGAATGTGTTCTATAAGCATTTCTCTGCCCACCTTAACTTATGTTACTAAAATGCTTAGTAAACCTCTTCTTTTTAGACATCAGTGCAGTCACTGACTCTTGAATTACAAACTTCCTCATTAGTAGATTGAAGCTTTTTATTTTATCAACATGAACATTCAGGAACACATAAAACCCACCATTTTTACCTGCAATGTTTTAACTTAGGGAAAATGTACATGGCATTTTAAAAAAATCAAGAGCTGAATGTCATCAACCTCAAGGAACTTAACATAGTATCTTCTTTTTTCTTCTTGGAGACTTTATACATAATACCTGGTAGAACTTTGTCACATCTGTGTTTCCAAATTCTGAGTATACCATCCCATATTTGCATGTCTGTGTGTGTATGTGATTTCAGTTTTAAAAACTAGTAACAAAAGGAAGTAAACATCATCATAAAACACCCAATATGCTGGTGGCATTTCCACAGTGCCCCCTGCAGCAGGCCTGGCTACCTTTGCCCCCAGTGCCTACTTAGCACAGTGCCTTGCACACAGTGGGTACCAGTTGGATGCATTGTAATTGCTATGGTGCTACAGGGCTTTGGAGGGAAAGCAGAGGTAGCTGTGGTTTAGTTCAATCACATGAATTTTATTTATTAACATCATATGTAAATTCTACTAAAGTTGATTAATTTGGTAGACGAAGTAATCTTTTTATCATCAAAGCATAAGATTTTGAAAGGACATTTCTATATAAAATATAATGGGATCAGTACTTAATGTAGTTAAGTAGTAGGTGCTCAATAAATGTCTGATCAATGAAGGACCTAAAAAACTCACTAATAAACCAACAACTTTTGTGTCCTTTATTACTACTCAATCAAGTTTTAAAACTGTAGACCATAAAACCTAAACGCCAAAGTAAGAAAACCATGAGATGCTATTAAAATGAATCATTGAGAGATGATGAGAAATGAGCCAAACTACACTCAAAGCATAGTTTCCCGTACTGCATAACTGAATGAAAGCTGAGTTTAGACAGACAGAATAAAACCTGGGGAATCATTTTCTAATAATACTGTCTGGTTGGTTAAAAACATAAACACTTTGATTGAACAGACCACACAAGTCTTAATATGTGAAGAAGAAAACATTTTGTAACAGTGTCATCCATTTCACTGACTTCCAGAGTGGAGTGGGGTCCCACAAACCTCAGGGGCATGAAGCTCTAGGCAAGCAGCAGTAGGTACTGGAAAAGGTGATAGCAGAGCAGCAACAAAGAAGATGGGTGAAAGGCTGTTAGATGAAAATAACATGTAAAGAATGGAACTGAAGAGAAGAGCTGGCTTGTTGAGGGGTGAATGTCTATGATGGCCACATTCACGCTGTCAACTCACTCACACCGGCTTTAGGCACTGCCATCAAAATACTCAGCATTTCCTTCCTGCTTTTCAACAGTGCAAACATGAAGACGTTCATAACTAGCTCACAGTATTTTTCTCCAGGTAGATTGTGCTTTGGCTTTTCTCCGACCTTGTGTACAATTATACCAAACAGTTAAGAGCCAAGAGACCGAACTTCCATAAAAAGTATAAAGTGTGCAACAGGCTATGTTCTGTGAACTGTGAACTTTTAGGTTCAAATTCTAGATAAGTTTCCCACTAAGTAGCCTGTAGTCTGGGAGGTGGAAAGCACCAGTGGTCACGGCATACAACACACCAGCAATGCTGCTGGGGGCCTGTGCCACCTTCCATCATCTCCCTTCAAATGCCTGTTTGCAACACAATGATTTCAAAACAAGGTTTATAAAACAGCGACTAAGACAGACCTCTGAACAGCTACTCATCAAATGCAGCTATTCCTATTAATCATATCCAAACAAACACAGAAGCTACTTATCATAAATAAGGTTTCATTCTTCCAAATACCTGTTTTAACAGAAATACACATCACTTTCTTGGTTACAGTCTGTGTTGCAGGCCGCGGCGAGTGCCTTGATTCTCCTGATGGTCCTGAATGCCCACACAGGCAGCCATGTGCCCTGTGCCTGAGCGGAGGCCCCCACTTACTTGTTACTGCAATGTTGATTTCTCCTGTTCTCGGAGTGAGCTCCCCATCCTGAGGAAGAGGTGATATCCCCGAAGTTCGAAGTGGCTCAAGGCTGAGGGAGTTGTCGCCGGCAAGGTCGCCGAGGGCTGATCTTCGATTAACAGCTTGGGTTCTGGTGAGTCTTTCCATATCGAATGCTACGTTATCAGTACACGGCAAATTCGGCTGCAAAATATTTCCAGGTTAAAAATAATTGTTAGGAAAACAAATAATTTTGTAAGATTCTAAACTTTAACGGCCTGTTGCAAAGACCTCACCAAGTTCTTTCCCTGTGATCTGCTCTCATTTACCTGCCCACCTACCTACTCTTTCTCCTCTCACCCTAAGAGTTCTTCTTCAAAAGGCACAGAGATCTCTTCTCACAAATGGTACAAAGGAAAACCAAAATTCACTGCAGATCAGAGAAAACTGGTCATGGCACACAGGGAATCATAATCATTAACATAAAGATAGCAAACATCCAGTTTAAAGAGTAAACTATTACTTTGCTTAATGGTAAATGTCCATGTTGAAGAATCTCAGGTAATAGAAAACACCTCTTTCATCCTACTAACTTATCTGAAAGCCCCATTTATCTGACAGTCAGTTTTAAGTATCTTCTAACTTTAAACCCAAGTAAAACATAAAGCCAAGAGTAGGTCAAAGTTGAAAAGGCTTTTGAACTATAAGAAAATGATAGTTCAAAACCTAAGCACCTAATCCTGAGGGAGAGGTACAGAGATGCTTGCGGCCAAAGTCAACCAATTAAAAAGTGAGTACCAAAAGTCTTCCATTTTAACAACGTGAATATTTGGTTTACCTAGCAACCTTTGGTTTTCCCAGCATGTAGCAGCAGGCAGCACATGAGAAGCAGAGCTGGGAAGGGTGGCTATGAGAAGTTTATATGTTTATAGAGAGAAGTTTCAGCCAACTAAACTTGGAACAATGGCTTCCTGGGCAAATGAACTATTTCAGGTCATCTCAAAGTCTTATTTAAAAATCACAGAACAGTGTACTACGTGATGCTTAGATTCACGCTCAGTTAGAAGAGGTTTTCTTACGTTCATCACATTTAGGGATCCACAGTAGCCTGCAATACATTTTAGAAGGGCTTTTATTATAAACAGAGGAGGAAAGTATTAGCACTTAATATACTTACCAAACAAACAAAAAAACTCAAGAAGGCTAGAGGTAACAACAGAGGGTAAGTTAATGGTTTTGGTGTTTCTGCACTGTTGGCCAGGCACGGTGTCTCATGTCTGTAATCCTGGCACTTATGGAGGCCGAGATGGGCAGATCACTTGAGATTAGGAGTTTGAGACCAGCCTGGCCAACATGAGAAAAAACAGTCTCTATTAAAAACACAAAAATTAGTGACTGGGCATGGTGGCTCACGCCTGTAATCCCAACACTTTGGAAGGCTGATGCTGGTGGATCACAAGGTCTGGAGATTGAGACCACCCTGACCAACATGGTGAAAACTCCATCTTTCTAAAATACAAAAAATTAGCCGGGTGTGGTGATGTGTGCCTATAGTCCCAGCTACTTGAGAAGCTGAGGCAGGGAAGTTGCTTGAACCTGGGAGATGAAAGTTGCAGTGAGCTGAGATGGCACCACTGCACTCCAGCCTAGAGACAGAGTGAGACT